CACACACACACACACACACACACACACACACACACACTCTTCATCTGCTGGCTACATCCAGCATTCGAACAGCCCCAGGTCTACCTGACCTTCTACTCTGCCTTTTTTAAAAAATGATTTAAAAATCATTAAATGGCTGTGGAAAATATACACCGCAAGACACGCACCCATGCAACTGTTTCTGTGTGGACCGCTCAGTGACACCGAGTTGTGCCACCTTTTTCTCCTTTTCTGAGCTGCCCCCTCACCCCAAGTCCCTCCCCCTCGAGCCTTTCCAGCTGCCCTGGTCAGTTGGACCCCACACAGATCCGTTGAACCAGAATGCGCGCTCCAGGCAGACATTTGCTCCTGGTGAAGCTGCGATCTGGTGGCCCTAGCAGGAAGCCTCAAGCTTATTTTTAATGAACAACTTCCCTCTCCAGCCTCCCTGGCCCGAGCCCTAGTCTCCACCTCCAGTTCCAGGTGTGGAGTGAGAGAACGGTGCTCCAGCACGTGTCTCCCCCGGGGCTCACTCTGCTGGGGGCGTGGGCAAGGTCTCAGAGAAGAGGGCACAGGGCCGCTTTCTCACCATGGTGCCCTGCCTCCTTCTCCCCCGCCTGGCAGTGTCTGAGCCCCTCCTACCTGCCCCTGCGATGTATGGCTGGAGGCTGCGGGCGGCTGCTGCGGGGCCCCGAGAGCTGCTCCCTAGGCTGTACCCAGGCCACGCAGTGTGCCCTGTGCCTGCGGCGCCCCCACTGCGGCTGGTGTGCCTGGGGCGGCCAGGATGGTGGCGGCCGCTGCCTGGAGGGTGGGCTCAGCGGCCCCCGTGAAGGTGAGAGGGGCCCCGGGCTGTGGCTGGGGGTCTGCTGCTGGGGGCAAAAAGGAGGGGACCTGGGGGGTTGTCTGCAAAGTGGACTCCGAGGATGTGGGAATGAGGACCCGAGTGGGGGGGGTGTTCAGAACCCCTCCCCCCCACCGGTGAAAGCTGGTATCCTGGACTGCAGGGCTGACGTGTGGGCGCTCGGGGGCGTCCTGGGCCTTCCTGTCGTGCCCTCCCGAGGACGAGTGTGCCAACGGGCACCATGACTGCAACGAGACCCAGAACTGCCACGACCGGCCGCACGGCTACGAGTGCAGCTGCAAGACGGGCTACACCGTGGACAAGTGAGCGGCCAGGGCGCCTGCGTGCGTGTGGGGGGCGGGGCGCGGGGTGGGGCCCCCGGGTGACGCCCAGAGCCGGGGCGCAGAGGTGGGCCGGCTGGGATGAGCTGGAGCCTGGGGGGGTGGGCAGGGGCGAGAGCCAGGCTAGGCGGAGAAATGCCTGTTCCTGGGGGCCGGACGCACAGGGCCACGGTGTGGAGAGGGTGGAGGGGCTGGCCGAGGTGGACTAGGCCAGGGGGCCGCCATGAGGGCCCCCCAGGCGTAGGAGGGGCTTCCTGGCAGCCCGCCCTGACCCGCCCCCGCCCCCGCCCCACAGCGTGACGGGGCTCTGCCGCCCGGTGTGCGCCCAGGGCTGTGTGAACGGCTCCTGCGTGGAGCCCGACCACTGCCGCTGCCACTTCGGCTTCGTGGGCCGCAACTGCTCCACCGAGTGTCGCTGCAACCGGCACAGCGAGTGCGCCGGCGTGGGGGCGCGCGACCACTGCCTGCTCTGCCGCAACCACACCAAGGTGGGCCCCCCCAGGGCCCTGGCCCCTCAGCCTAGACCCCCTGCTTGCGCTCAGGCATCCTGAGCTCCGAGAGGCCAGGGGTCGCGAGAGAGGGCAGAGCCCTGTCCGAGGGAGGTGTGAGAACACTTTGTGAGATGCCTTCAGGGTTGGTATCTTAGGGGGGCCATCTAAGAAGAGGGGCAGGGAGGGCAGTCACGGGCAGGAGGGTTTGGCGTGCTGTACGGCTTGTGAGCTCAGGGGCAGCGGGCACCCTGCCCCTGAAAGGTGAAGGTCGGGGTTAGCACCAGGTCTGCTGGACTTCGGCCACGGCGCACCTTCCCGTGATTCTCTGACTCCTGACCTCCCCGTCCTGGGTCCCCAGGGCAGCCACTGTGAGCAGTGCCTCCCGCTGTTTGTGGGTTCAGCCTTGGGGGGCGGGACCTGCCGGCCCTGCCACGCCTTCTGCCGTGGCAATAGCCACGTCTGCGTCTCCAGGAAGGAGCTGGAGATGGCCAGGAGGGAGCCAGAGAAGTACTCACTGGGTCCAGAGGAGGTGAGAAGATGGGGTCTGAAGGAGGAGGGTCTGGGGGCCTGGACTCCTGGGTCTGAGGGAGGAGGGTCTGGGGGCCTGGACTCCTGGGTCTGAGGGAGGAGGGGGCTGGAGCCTGGATTCCTGGGTCTGAGGGAGGAGGGGCTGGGGGTCTGGATTC